ATTCCAAATATTTTGGTATAGATGGAGATTCAATAGTAACTGGTATTTTTTCTTTTGTTAACGATGTATAAACAACAAGGATTAATAAAGATATAAGTAACAACGTGAAATAAATTCGAGTTAGTCGTCGGTTTCTACGAAGATTATTTAGGGTTTGTGAAGAGGGAATTACAGGAAAGATATTGAATTCAACAATACTCTTCTTGATATATTGTAATGAAATACGGAGACGATCATAAATGACTAAAAACAAAAATTTCATTCAGAAAATATGAAAATGAATAATATCGCGAGGGTGTGGGTATTCTATTTCACTCATACTCACACTTATCCGCTAAATAAAACACTGCTTTATTCCAAAAAGGCAAGTATACGATGTACACTTTGCAGCAGAAATTTACATTTTCTTTCTAATACATAGAAAACGATTTTCAGTTGCAAAACTACCATTTATGTATAGGTAGATCATAATCTAACAGATAAAAGTTGTATCGATGTTTATTCAGATGATATGAACTTTATTTTATACTCCATTCCTTTGCGCTCTATGAAGCTTCGTTTTCGTGTGTTTGACCATCAAGAAATTGGTAATAAAAAGTACTAACCAACTCCTTGCGTGTATGGACATTTCAATTTTTCTTTGAAATTAGACAGTGAAATAGTTTTCTCATGTCGATGAAAACTTTCTGATTTTGCTCTTGATTTTTTCAATAGAAGTGTACGGGTCAACTCCTGTTTTTGGTGAGAAATTTCTATCATGATATTGTCAAAAACGAGTGGATATAGTTAAGGGTGTGTTGTTACAAATGTACGATGGATATAGGTGCTTATGCTTAGAAGGTGTACATGGAGAAAACAATGTTTTTTAGTCATAATAAAATATTAGTACAGTAGGCAGTTAGTATATTCACAGATGAGAGAAATTCCGACTGATTTATTTACCTCTTCTGGTAGAGACCGTTTCTACAGATGGTCTGATTGTATTTTGTCGCCGAGATTTCATTTTAGCCCAAATATAAGATGATAGTTTGATGAGATACGGTACTAATAATGCTAGAGGAAAATTAAGAGTGCCTAATGTTCCAATAATTCTTGTAACAGCATCGATTATATTATATCGACTTAGATATGAATATTGACAAGATAAAGGATGACATTGATTAAAATAAGATTCATATGAACTAGTTTGATTAGACCATGACTGAATAAAAAGTTTCTTTGCCAACATATCGATTGTATCATTTTCACTTTCGTTCATTGCTAACGATGATAAACGAAGTGTTGAAAAATTTGTTGGTGAAACTAGAGAATTAATTTCACGTGTAATCTCAGATAGACATGTTTCATTGTAGAAACATTCTAATGTCGATATTAAAACAGAGCGAATAGGAGATACTGTTAGTCTCATTCCTGGAATAGTTTTGCGGGTGAAATCTTCTTCTACAACAACTGTTTCTAGAACACATTCGCCGGGAAACAAAAAGAAACATTCGCATTTTTCGCCGAGTGTACATACAGGACGATCGTGTCGAGCATTTAATTCAGGTTCTAAGCGGAAAACTTCTTTGTTGTGAACATCTCTTCGAGATCGAAAAATAGAATTGAGTGGTACAATCAATTGATTGATTTCAGTATTTGCTTCTATTAGTTGTAATGTCCGTTGATATGATTCTGGTATTGTTCTTTTGAATTGTTCAAGAATTAAATTAGATTCGATTTGAAAAGAAAAATTATCAATAACTTTAGGAGTAATCAATTTTGTTCGATAAAATGATTGAAGATTATCTTCGATAGTTTGCTTAGCTACACGAAAAAGTGTAGATAAAAGCTGAAAATGCATTTGAGATTGAAAACGAATATCATTGATGAAAAATTCTTTCACGGGTGATTCAATAAATTGAAGTTGGATCCAACGAGGAGTAATGAATTCAGATGAACAGATTTCATGGTACTCAACTTCGATATCAGAAAAAAATTGTTTATATTCGAATGAAGTTCGACTACATGGACAATCAAGTGTCAATGGATATTCCTTTCTCAGTCGAGCAAAAGTTTCTAACGATGGAGATTCAATAGTCTTACTGATTGTAATAGATTCAAGAAACGTATAAAA